CCAGTACTCCGGTTAAAAAATATGAATTAGAGTGTAAATAGCTTATGCCTGCTCCATAACTATCATCATCTACCGGTGGTCCTGAAACAAATAGATGGTATATACATATTACTATTGTTAGGTAGCGGGAGCATAGATGGAAATCCGTTACCATTTTGGGGGAGAGCATGGAAACAATTTATTTTTAAATTAACACCATTTGTCTTAATAAATAATAATATTTAAGAAATAACAGAATTTACAATGTAACATAAATACATATTTTAAAGTAATATATACAGTTACAACTAAATAATATGCAGTTCGAGTAATATCTATTTTGCATTACGTATAATTATTATTTGTGGGTTGATTAATATAGTTAAATTTCCAAAAATATACTTTCATTTAATTAAATATAAAAAAAAATATTTTTGAGCCCAAGCCAAATCGGTACCAATGATCTGTAAATCTATTTAACGAATTTCTGTGCAATACGATATTTTTTTGTTAATAACGAGACTTCGTAGTTGGAAATTACACTGCTTTTATTTTAAAACCAATTTGGAAAGTTGGAGTTGTTTTGGAAAATTCCCGGTTTTTATTAATTTTTTGATCCCGAGGGTAGCAATATGCATGTATCGATTTAACAATAATGTGTGTTTTTATTTTTGTGACAGAGTACACGATAATTAGTTAGCTTTCGTTTTTAGGAAAATCTCATGTATTTGTAACTATTCGTTTTTAGATTACTCTACAAAAATAATATAGATATTGTTAAAATCTAGTTTATCATAAAAATCGCCACTTTTATTAATTTAATTTTTTTAATTTTTCTCAATTATTAAGAAAAGTACAAAAATATATTTTACACGTATAAAATCACTTTAAAATTATTACTTTCATCGCTACGCTAATAATCTATGTTTATATTACCCAATACAGAACCGGCACAAAACTTATCGGATGTCACATACTGATCTTTAAAATACAATTTTCGACAAGTACTTGGGTTAATGTATGGAAACAATCTTTCTACTAAAACAGATTTTTCTGTGCCATTTTTCGTGTCTCCCCAAAGACTAATCTGTAAATGTATGAATTAGTTTTATAATGTACTAATATGATAATGGTACAATTTTAATTGCATGTTATTTAAGTGTCAGTAATGAGTTAAATTGTATTTAAATAAAGCCAGACTAATCAAAGTTTTAAATTTTGGAAATAGATCAAATTAAATTTTTAAAAAATATCTGGGTGCCAGTGTAACTTTAACACTTACGATGGCAACAAATAAACATACAAAACTTATATGAGGTATTAGGGATGTGTAAAGAGGCAATGCAGCCCATTTTATTCATATTACAACCAACAAATTGTTAATATTACAGAGCTAAATCTGAAAGTAATTTGAAGTTTTTTTTAAATTTGTACAGTCCTCAAAAACAAATTTGTGATTTAAATAAACTTAAAGGNTAGTTTATCATAAAAATCGCCACTTTTCCTTAATTTAATTTTTTTAATTTTTCTCAATTATTCAGAAAAGTACTAAAATATATTTTGCACGTATAAAATATAAAATATATTAAACACAAATCACTTTAAAATTGTTACTTTCATCGCTACGCTAATAATATATGTTTATATTACCCAATACAGAACCGGCACAAAACTTATCGGAAGTCACATACTGATCATCATAATACAATTTTCGACAAGTACTTGGGTTAATGTATGGAAACAATCTTTCTACTAAAATAGATTTTTCTGTGCCATTTTTCGTGTCTCCCCAAAGACTAATCTGTAAATGTATGAATTAGTTTTATAATGTACTAAAATGATAATGGTACAATATTAATAGCATGTTATTTAAGTGTCGGCAATGAGTTATATTGTATTTAAATAAAGCCAGACTAATCAAAGTTTTAAATTTTGGAAATAGATCAAATTAAATTTTTAAAAAATTATCTGGGTGCCAGTGTAACAATAACACTTCCGATGGCAACAAATAAACATACAAAACTCATATGAGGTATTAGGGATGTGTAAAGAGGCAATGCAGCCCATTTTATTCATATTACAACCAACAAATTGTTAATATTACAGAGCTAAATCTGAAAGTAATTTGAAGTTTTTTTTAAATTTGTACAGTCCTCAAAAACAAATTTGTGATTTAAATAAACTTAAAGGGGCTAAATACACCAAACTTCTTATTTTGGACAAAATTTACTAGCAAATTGTAAGTTTTTGAGATTTATTAGCCACTTATTCACTTTGGGGTTTCAGAATTAAATTTATTATTTATCGGTTTTAAACTATCAGCAAAATGTATATGCGTGTGTGGATAACATAACCATGACGGCATAACCTACCAATTTGTAGAAATTAAACCAGACAACTAATTTCAAATTAAAATTTATGCATTTAATGAAACTACAATATTTTTATATAATACAACAAATTTACCTTTCCTTCAGCTCCACTCTGTATATTATTATATTTACTATACCAATCGATACAAACAGGTGCAATACCATTACTAAATGAAATTTTGTTTGCTAATATAATAACAGATATATCTTCAGAATGGACCCCATTCTCATCTACATCATAACCTTCAGACAGGTAAATCGTTTCTACCTGCACAATTGTTTTAATTTATATAAAAACTGCGATCGTAAACTCCGCCGGAATACCGGTTACTTAAAAACGGAATAAAAAGGTGTAATGTAAACTCCGGCGGTGTTTGTTTGAATACCTAGTAAAATTGAAAACTACGTACGCGTCTTATTAGTTATTATCAGTGGTCGAAGTGGGGGGGGGGGGATACGGAGGGATAACATCCCTCTACTTTTTTGTACTTACATTTTTCATCCTTCTACTTATTTTGTCTAGAATAACGCATTCCTCTTAAGACTTGTGTTTTAAAATGAAATAATTATTATGATTTTTATATTTATACCTATGTATAAGAAAACTTGTTGTATAAGAAACTTTGCCGTTTCGCAATCATATTATCTATACCCGTATTTAGAGCCATGGATTAAATCTGAATTGTAAGGCATCCCTCCACTTATCTTGAGCCATTTCGACCGCTGACTTATTAATAAAAATAATAATTCTCTAACTAACTCAGCAGGCTCAGTACACTACAAGTCTACAACCTTCATATTCATCCTCCACTAAAATGGCGTTTAAAACGCGGACGCCCACCCAACTTAAATACCAATATTTTATCAATTATGTTTAAAAAAATTTTTTTTTTTAATCCATGTATTTTGTAGATATTTATTAGTTATACATTTAGGTAAATTGACTGTACACAACCGTAGTTTTTTATGTGTAATTATCTTTTCAAAATAGTCCCAAACTTATTATTCCGTATTATCCATCGATTTAAGTACCTATTTATGCTATTGGAATATCTTATTTAAAAAAAAAAGAAAAAAAAGTTTAAATGAACCTTATAAACTCGAAAAGAAAAAAATCATAATGTTAGACAACGTAATAAATAGTTAGAATAATGGATTTATATTAGACTTCGATGCAAGAATATTTACAAACGGTATCACATCATTAAAGTTCACAGTTCACAATATTATAACATAACATAATATACTTATATACTTTGTGATTAATACAATTTTTTATTTATCATGAGTTTGTGACCTTCTCATTGCAATTTGTAACAGATGTTCAAACAATCAACATTTTTTATTTTTAAGTTTTATATATTTTTGGCCTGTGCGCATATCTAACTATTAATTGATGGTGACATTTATTGCTATACAATTATGATTTTTTGTTTTATATAATAATATATTGCATTAATAACTTTTACAGGGTCACTTGAGTTTTTTTACTAACGGAGTTTACATGAGCACTTTTTTTAACTGTTATTTATTCATAACGGGGTTTATACTAAAAACATATACATGTGGCGGAGTTTACATGCACCCATATTATACACAGCATACAAATAATTTAATTTTTAGACTTTAAATTATTTATAACTTACATCTATTATTTGAATAAAGTCATTGTCAATATCAGTAAAACTTTTATCATATTTTCCGACAGTAATTTTGTATTGACCATCTTTTATTGATATTCTCTTAGATAACATACCTTTATGCCAAAAAGATGAAGCCGCTAAAAACGTTATTTAATTAATTTTCATTCCTTCTTAAATTCACTGTACAAGGATTTTACCGGATATGACTACATTTGGAGCAATAATTGATCCTACACTATCAAGGTAATAATTTGAATTCGTTTTATTTAATTTAAATATTGCAGCAAACCAAGGTGTTGTTCCAACTGTTGCTTTATTCTTACCTTCTTCGAATATTACTTGGCTTTTTATATTTACTCTACCACAATCTAAAACAATATTAGATATATTATAAGATCCATATTTAGATTAATATGTGTAACTCTGGCATCTATTATTTATTACAAAAACATAAAATTTTTTAATAATATTAAATGTCATATAGCTGTTATTTTGTACCCATGGTCACATTGTTTCCATACTCGTATCGAGCACACAACTCTTTGGTCTCGTCTGAACCATCTGAACAATCCATATGGCCATCACAAACCCACGACCATTCGATGCACGGTCCATTTGAACAAAAAAAATTATCTTCAGTGTTTCTATAATATTTATTAAAAAGTGCAGCTTATTATTATTTAACATTAGTTATACAATTATAAGCTCATCGAAATTTAAAAATGACAATTATAGTTGAATTTGGAAAAACTATCCATTGTACTGTTTAAGTTGTATACAATTTACTTTTCATTCATAAATTAGAAATAAAGAAAAAAATGACAATATTCGTTTGTAAATCTATTATCTGACATATTATTATGTTAACTGAAGTATAGACTACAGTGAACGAAATATTTCAACAAGAATATAAGATAATCGTAAGTTTTTAATGTTTAATTTACTTAAAACGATTAATATAAAATAGATTCAAGATAATAATAAACAATTAGACTGGCGGAGCATAATATGATTAAAGGTTATACGTCATCGGAATCCGATGTCCTTAGTGTAATCAAAAGTTTAACGATAGAAATATGAATTCGAGGACATTAAATAAAGTTAGTTTTTTCACATAATACAAATGTAAGAGAAATAGTGGTTTTGATCTTCCTAATCATGTGTAGGTAGTACTAAGAATATCTGATATTAAAATATATGGATCGTGAATTGTTTGATGGAACTTGTTAAAACTTTTGGACTCTAAGCCTTTAAGACGCCCATCGCTACTGTTTTCGCCAATTATAATAACATAGATGATATTTATTTATACTACAGTTACCAACACTGAACAAGATGATACAGCTTGTCGTCTCTTGAGTCTCCTGTCACACAAAATGCCGGATCCTGAAATTATATGTTCGTATTCATTAAATATACGTATACCATGTTTAGTTGATGAAGATTATTATTAATTGTTATTTTCAGTTTGATTGAAATAACATTATTCAATGTACACCATATGCCACCTTGCAATATGTAAGGTGGCCTAATATCAGTCAATAATAAAAGGGGAGGGGGGATAAATATTTAGACCTATATATAAATGTAAAAATAAAACCATTCGTTTTAGCTGCTTCAAACTTACCATAGCTGAATGTAAAAATACTATCTGAATCAACTTCAATATTTTATCAATTATCAACCAATGGGTTTTTTTAAATTGCAATCAAATTACTATTCATTCATTGAGATTTTGCTTAAATTAATTAAAATTGGATCAAGTATTTCAAATATATTAAATCAACTATGCTTAATAATCAAACCTATTTTGTTACTTATTTGTATAAATATAATAAAATAATTATTGGTTTTAATTAGTTCAAGCAAAGAGCATGTGTTTGGATACATAACTAATTTCCTTTATAAATTCAAGATAATCATTTTATCCAGTTTAAAGTTTATAACGAAAATAGATTTTAAAAAAACCCAAATCTGCAGTTAAAATAATAAAAAGTAAGATCAAATTTAAAAATAATATTTATTGATTAAAATATTATTATACCATCGTCTATTGCTGTGTTTTGGTATGTTTTGTCCGTGTTACCACGTCCAAATTACAAGTTACAGTTAGGTACTAGTGTTTTTACCTATACAGTTTGTCAGTTTTCAACTTACAGGTTATAGTTATTAGTTAGCATATAACTATTAAAGTACTAAATATAGTTAGTTCTTAGTTAGGTTTGTCCTGTTTACTAGTGTATTGTGGTAATGTTTTTTTTTTTTTTACGCGGCTTCGGATTATTTTATATTATATTATATTACCATAAGAACAAATTCAACTGTTACGGTTCTGTTTGTAACTATCGCCAAATATTATGAAGTGGTTGTTTTATTTTCAGAATTTTTATTTTGTCAATTTGTTTATAGTTTCATGGTATACATTTTATTTTTGCACCAAAACATTATGTTTGAACTCAATAACTATTGGTACTAATTAGTAATTATGTTATACGATATGATAGTATGTATCACTAACTTTAACGAAGTACTGAATTTAATAACGAGACTATGTAAAACGATACAACATTATCTTCGAAATTATAAATTGTTAGTCTCAAAACCATTGTACACAGAACACGCATGCATGCACATACACATATATATTATTGTCACATTTAATAGGAGAAAAATTAAATAATGTATTAATTGTATAGAAAGTTTAATTTAAATTAGTCAATTTGAAATATTTTGTCATCAAAATTAAAGATTTAAGGATAATTGTTTACATTAAATAACTGATAAATATCATATTGTAAATTGTATTCAAAACTCCTTGACCTTAGTTTTGGGATATATTTAATATTTAACTATAATGATTATTATACTAACATAATGTCATAAAAATATGATTTCCCATTTATTACTATATTATTGTTTATACTGGTTTTACGTACCGAAAATTAAACATGAATAAAGTATCCAGAAATACGTCACTTCCATTGCCAAGGTTGAGCTAAAGTTAAAGCAAATAAATATAAAAATATAAACAATATATATAAGCTGTATAGATAATTTATATAAAGTTAGCGTCACTATACAGTATACACATACACTAACAATATTTTCTGTACATTTTCTAACATGTATGTATAGAAAATGTACTATAATAATAAAATATACCTTAATTAAACACTGAGAATATGTAGACAATTGATAAATTTTAAAATTCATATAACATGATAACACTATGTAACAGCTAGACGATAATACCAAATATTATCACACAACTTTACAACATTAGACACATACTAGCGGGTCTTCTATAACATGTACACTGGTATATCAAGATGCTGGTATGCCGGCGATGTTAATATTATTATGTTCCTCCTACCAGCTAGGTACATGATCACCGAAGGACAAACGTCGTAGATAGGTGGTAGTGGCAATGAAGAAATAAGTGATTTGTTAAATTGTTTTATTATTGATTATATTAATCCTACTACTACCTACATCAAATACAGCTCATGGTTTTTTGACGTAGTATACATTTATACATGTAATACTGGTTATTCAAATTCTGTATAGGTGCACTAACCACATTATAAACAACAATTATTTGTGTTTAAATTTAAATTTATAGTTATTACAGCAGTGATGGAACAAATTCCGTGTGGGAAAAGACCTCTTGGAAGACCCAAAACAAGATGTTTTTGAAGTAGTCGAAAAGGATGTGGAATCACTAGGTAGAGGCACGAATTGCAGAGAAAATAAAGTGGACTGAGAAGAATGGAGGAGTGGGTTTAAAATGGAAAGGTCTCCAAAGGCATTTTCTACCATTCATAGTTCTATAGCAAAAGAAGAAGATATATAGATGTATTCTATTTATTTACTATATTATATTATATATCGTGGCTAACGAATAACTGGGTAGATACTCGTAACCAAAGATCGTTTCTCGGTAGTTTGGTTGACGTTTATATCGGATTATATAATTAATATTTTGTAATACTTCGATCTAAAAATATAATATTATATGAAACAACAAAGAATGTTTCCTTTTTTTGTCTGTTAAATTTTCTATATTTTTATTTTTATTTTATTTTCAATAAATAACATTTTAAAATATCACTGATGAGCATATTATTCTTTCTCGCTTGACTCACGGCTTAAATAATTGTTATCAGATAAGCATTATCATATTGTCTCATGTTGTGCAGAGTTTATTTATCTACTAAATAAATTTAATTAGTATGAATTCCAACAATTATAATAAACGACGAACAACTGTCTTACGTATTTTTTATCTGAACGTTTGATATCAGATTCATGTACCTACCTCAAATGATACTATATTTTCTTAATACGTTACGATATGTTTACAATCAGGCATGGCTTGAAACCGGTTTCAAAAAAATTTTTGTATGAGTGCATATTGACGAGTGACGACAGTCGGCAAAACCCGACTTTTGAGCGGGTCAATTTTTGTAACTTGTAAATCATAATTATTGAAGTCATGCTGCATACTATAAATAATAACATGTAACAAACAATATAAATGCAATTTATTTATGAATTTTGTTTGTCTCAATTAATTTAAATATTAATTACAGCAGTCAGTATAAACTGCAATTATTATTATCCTACATTCAAGCCTGAACAAGTTGATGATAATTTTTAAATAAGTTAAGTTAAGTTGACAGAAAACATTTTAAAAAGTTAAAGTTTATTTAAATTAAGTTTTACTTAAATTTAACCTTTAACTTTTTAACTCATAGCCCAGCCTTGATTACTTGGCTTTATCTTGAAAGAGTGAAACAATTTTATGAACGACCGAAGATAATAAATTTTAAAAGTCCAAAATATGTTTTTTTAATGTTATATTGTTAAATTTGTATTTTACTATGTTTAGAGAATAATCGTTCTACATGAGTTTATTATATAGTAGCTCGTAGGTACAACAAAAATCTACAAACATGGTCAAATAAAAAATATTTTATGTTTTAAAAAAAAAAATTGGTTAATGACAAAATACCATTCTACGCATAAATAAACTGAACGTTCTAACATCCGATGTTATAACTCGTAAAAGATACTTTTAAATAATTCTAAATTTCCAAATGGCCAATTCTTCTAAAATACAATACACTTTAAAATATGATTTAAAACACTAGCAAATTAATAGTCACAAAATATTTATTTGTGAAGAAAAAATTAAATACTTTTAGCTATCAAACTAATATTTTAGAAAGTCATTTTACAATTTTATCTCTTGGCTTATAGTAGGATGAAATAGCCGATTCGAAAACCTGGTCCCCGAATCGCCCGTGTCGGGGACCAGGGACCAGGTTTTCAAATCGGCTATTTCATCCTACTGCTTATATTATATAATATTATTCAATAGGCCTCTATGTCTAAGATGCACCGTGATTATGCAGGGCATTTTTAGTTAGACGAGGAGCGTGCTTACAGTGGTGCCGAGAAGTGTGTCATACTCACCTGCTTTGGTTTTTTTCATTAAATAATGTTCATGATTAGACGATGATAGGATATTTATCTGCTAACTCTACATATAGCGTGGTCAGAAAATAGTAAAATCTTAACATCAACCTTCAACTTTTAGAACAATCAACACATTTAAAATTATTTATATACAAATAGGTAATTACATTAAAATATTGTATGATAGAACAACAAAAAAACAACCAAAAAATTGTTTTTATTTTTCAATAAATTTAAATGGACGGGACCTGTTTTTTTGTTCAAAAACATGCCTTGTAGGAAAAACTTTTATGCTTTATAGAGTGATCCGATACCTATCAATTGTTTTTTTTTTTTTTTTAAAGAGAAACATTTCTTACAGGACACATTAGGCTTCGACTTTCAAAAGTCTGTTTCCATGAACAATATAATACAATTTTGTAAATTACTAATTTTCGCAAGATTTTATTATTTCATTATGATTGTTTTAAGGCCCCTGCAAATGTGTCATTTTTAAGGAGTTGTGTTTAGGCAATTATTTCGTTCCTGCGATTACTGATCGTCTTTGTGTGTGTAATAAACTAATAAATGATCATTAGTGTGTGTATACTCCACTACCATCAACCGCGACCCGCATCAATTTACAATATATTGATATTTCTTATCTTGATTTATGGTCGCACGCACGCACACGCACAAGTCATTCAATGTCTAGATCAAAATATTCAAAACCATTTTATGGACGTGAAATAGCCGTCGAACTGACAACAATTAAGGTACTTCTAGTGGTTCGATTCAAAAAATGTAAAGATTTTTGTGTTGGTAAACAAGTTTACTTTACATCGGTCGGAGCACTTTTTCAATTTTAGAAAAATTCTTGACGATAATGAATATTTTACATTTTATAAATGTATACATTTTTAGTATTGAATATCTTCAAAAATATCAAAAATATTAAAAATATTGTCCAACCGATGCAAAGTAGACTTGTTGACCAATTAAAACATCTTTACCTTTTTTAAATCGAAAAACTAGAAGTACTTAAATATTTGTCTGTCGCTAAGGTCGATTTGATGAAAAATCAATAGAGTTTGCGGGGGCCTTAAGTAACGAAATTAAAAATCAAAGTTTAAAGCACCCTTTAAAAATTACCACTTTCTAAAGAAAAAAAATCAAATCAGAACCCTCAACGGTGCGTGAGAATTTTTCCTATAAAACATGTTATAAGTGAAAAATTAATTAAAATTTAAAATTTTCATTTTTGGTCGGTGGTGCTCTAGTGCCTTGATATAATAATATAACCATCATACTCACACTATAACTATCATTGATCAATGGACAATTCCATTCGTATCCAATACATTGCTTATTTTTAAAATCATGTCATTCACTTCGTACTATCGTACCATCATCGGATTCGTTGCATTACCCTGCTGTCGGATTAACTATGTACTATAATGACTGAACACGGTAATTTTCTTTTAGTGTTCCCCCGTCATATGGATGTGTTGTACATACTCTCTACTTAGGGTTTTATACTTTTATGTTTACAGAAAATGTTCTAGAGCCGAGACAGGTACTTGGTTCTTAGATACTTACCATCATATTCTATGAAAAATATTAAATATCGGTAAAATTAAATATATCTTAAATTTCATGTTTAAAAAAATTTGTTGAAAATTTTATTTTGCATAATTTTCAATTTTTAGTGCTATTTATAGCACTTATATTAATGTTTTTAAGTGCATATTTAAGCTTAAAAATCAATTTTTTAGTGCTATAACTCCCGAGCCCTGTTGATCACCAACACAAAATATGCCATTGGCGGCAGCGACAAAATTACATATTGCCTAAATATTGTCCCTTATTAAAGACGCAGGCCTCTTAAATAGAAAGTGTTAATTATTAGAGGATTCGATGCTGCTGGTTTTTTACTACATTTACTCAAGATACTTTATTATAATACAATATTGTAAGCACCCATCATACAACAAAGAATACCGAGTGTCATTTTAAAAATAAACGCTAGGTCTAAGATCATAAAAGTGATTTGACCCACAATTTGGTGAACTCTTAAACCCTTTATAAATGGACCGACATTATTATATTTCAATTCTTGTTGCCGCGACACATTGTCGTGAAAGCGATATGCAAAACAGTACAGCGGCGGCGACCAGTCTTATCTCTCTCCCTCTTCCTCATCCTCATTTAATCGTTACTCGACAGGTATGTGAATTATAATCACCTGTATAAATTAATTTATTATTATTGTTATTGTTGTCGTCATATTGCTTTTGTTTATATTATCTGTTTTTAATGTTGTTGTGATTACGCGGCCAACGCCCTTATTGTTGTTATTTTTTTTTTTACCGTTATATTTTTCATATCGTCGGCGTATATATATTAATTGTAAGAGAGTATTATTTTGTTGGTTTGTGAATTTAAACATTTTGTTTTCATATTTGTTCTGTTATTGGAGCAACGCGGAATTATTTGTTTCATTGCCACTGCGGCAACGCGTAATTGTATAATTTATTATTTTATTACCTGTTCTGTCATTGCGACACATATACAATTCTGTACCGGCCTAGTCAGTGCGACACGAAGCCGTTGTATAATTTATTATTACAATAAAACACCATCATTACCAGCATTTACGTGAGTTGTATTGTATTTCTGGTTGGGTATCACTATCGTGTACCTACAACTCGTCTCATCAGTTCGTCATTGAGACATCGCAGGACGGTGCTTTCCAATTGCCCGAGATCGGGATTGGTGCCATCAGTTGATGCGTAAGACCGCCAGCACCCGCCGTGGTGTTTGAGAGGCCGCCAAGGTCGTCGAGTCCATTCGCCGTCGTCTGTCATTTGTTGCAGCTTTCATC